AGGCAGGAAGTTCAAATCCACCAGGTGCTCTGTGGGAGAAGGGTGAGCAGTCTCACCCATGTGATGTACTGTCTCTGAAAACCCATGGAGGGTCAGCCCTGAGTCATTTCCCAACAGACATGTGAGGGAGAGAGATGCAGATTCCGTGTGCCTGGGCTTGTGTGTGCGTGGTGTCATCGTGGACTACAGCCCACAGCGACCCATGAACTGCTGTGCACCTTGCCTGTCCTCACCGTCCCCCCGTCTGCCCTCACCATCTGTCCTGCACTGCCCCCCCCATCTCTCCTCACAGTCTGTCCTGCACCGTCCCCCCGTCTGTCCTGCACTGTCTGTCCTGCACTGTCTCCCCGTCTCTCCTGCACCTTCCTCACCATCTGTCCTGCACTGTCCTCACTGTCTGTCCTCACTGTCCTCACCATCTGTCCTCACCGTCCCCACAGCCTGTCCTGCACTGTCCGTCCTGCACTGTCCCCCTGTGTGTCCTTACAGTCTGTCATCACCGTCTGTCTGTCCTGCGTCCCCCCATCTGCCCTGCACCATCCCCCTGTCTGTCCTGCACCATCCCCCATCTGTCCTCACTGTCCCCACTGCCTGTCCTGCACTGTCCATCCTGCACCGTCCCCCATCTGTCCTGCACCATCCCCCCGTTTGTCCTCAATATCTGTCCTCATCGTCTGTCCTCACCGTCCCCACCGCCTGTCCTGCACTGTCTGTCCTGCACCGTCCCCCCGTCTGGTGTATTCTCGACCCCAGTCTTAGTTACTGTGTCAGAGGATCTTCCTCTCTTTCTCTGACCCTCTAACTTTCCTAGAATAAAGTCTTTTTCCAAGGCTTGGACACTCCTGACAGCGGGTCTGAAGTAGGGGGAACGTCCCCGTCCCTGACTCTAAGGAGGGCACTGGTCACTCTTCCTTCAGGACAGACGGTTTGTTCTTCTGGGGGACTGTGGACCGTCGTGTGCTCATCTGCAGCACCACCGTGCAGATCCATCCAGCCTTCCTCGCCCACCGCTGAACGCCTAGTGCACCCCACTTCAGGCCTCTTTCCGGCATACTCAGTCGCTCACCTTCCTGGGACCTGCCACACACTGCGTTCTTGGTCACAGGTCTGCCTGATCGCCCTTCAGAACCCCAGGTGTGCCCCCAGCAGAGGGGTCTCCTTCACCCGGTGGCAGCGGGGCTTTAAGCGGCAGAGCCTCATCTGCAGGTGCTGCACGCGGGACACTCTCCTCCTTGATGCTGGTCTTTTTACTGTCACAGACTCCGTCCAGTTTTCTGATGTTTTAGCTACAATATTGTGTTAATTGAGATTGTCAATCAATAACTGGTTTTGAGAATGA